TTTTTTTTTACTTTCTTTCATCTCATTTCCAGTTAGTATTATCAAGGGACTTTACAAAAAGCAAGTCTACCAGTTCGGTGGAGTCAAATTCTATCAAGTACGACAGGCTCATCTTAGACAGGTTCATCTGTACTAAGTGATTATCTGCATCCAATCAGAAATCCGGGAAACGGGCGTCTCTAACAGACGGACATTCATAGGGGTGGCGATGTAGGAATGAATGATACATAGTTAGTATAGTATGTATGCATTGAAGTATTTACTCCGAATAAAACCTGCGCCAAAAGACTCCGTAGGAATCTGCGAGACTGTATCAAACTGTTTAGTATGTAGAATACCCTCTAAGGATATTTTTTCATTGATTGCCGGTATTCTATTCGGTTCCAGCCGGTAATCAAAAGTCTAACTCAATTATTGCTTTGTTTGAAAACTTTGTAGCCAGAACATCACAACCCTGTTGCAGCACATGGCGTTTGCAACGTAACTCAAATTGATGAGGGAATTTAATGCCCACTTTTGTATGTAACTCAAATATTTTAGGGAATCTTATGACCACTTTTGCATGTAACTCGATAGATTAGGAAACTTAATGCCACTTTTGTATGTCGCGCCAGCTTCTTGCTCGTCTTTTATTTCAACTTGAAGCCTCTCCTAATCTCATTCTATAATTTCTTAAGAGCGTTGTGTATAATGTGTGCCAGACGCTTGCAGTTTTCTGCTATGCGAATGGCATCAAATAATCTTAGTGCTCTAAACTCGCAATTGAAGTATTCCAGATACAAGGTTCATTTTGCTGATTTACTCGTCTCTGCAGTTTCTCTACAAAGAGGAAAATTTGCTCTTTCTCCTTCTTAGGGCCGTTCTTAACCGGGATCGCGATCCAGCGCGTTGGCGCGTTGCCGTGAAATGGGTTCACGCTGCGATCCGAGCCGTTCATAACCGGACTGCGATCTGAAAAAAATCAACGTTGCCGCCAAAATGCAACATGGCGCGGACCGCCAAGCGCAAGGCAAGCGACGACGCTGCAGCTTCCACTGCTGGACCTGACACAACGGCCACCACAATGAGCTCGATGTTGACCGTGACGATCGACTTGGCGCCGCTCAAGCGTCCCGTGCGCCCTCCAATGTCGGAGAAATACAGCTATTGGAGCCTTGATCAGCTCAAGTTAGAGTGCACGGCGCGTAAATTGAACGTCCTCAAGAATACGAAGAAGGACGACCGCGCCAGTATTCTCGCGAGTCTCCCACTTTCCAGTTGAATCAAAGCAGCAGCCAATGAAGCGCGACAGCGAGTCACAGATAGCCTGGACGTTGACTCCATACCTCTGGTAGTGGCCCGAG